TATGGCTTGCCCAAGTTCATCCAGCCAGGTGCAAGTGGAGGAGTGGGGAATTAAACCCAGTTCTCCCAGATTAGAAGAGTTTGGATTTATACCCAGTGGCCCTTCACTACCCAAAGGTGTCTCAGAGGGGCTTACAAACTCCTTTCCCTTCCCCCCCCCACAACAGACACCCTGTGAGGTAGGTGGGGCTGAGAGAGCTCTGACAGAAACTGCTCTTTTTCCAGGACAGCTCTGACAGAACCATGGCTTGCCAAAGGTCATCCAGTCAGGTGCGAGCAGAGTAGTGGAGGAATCAAACCCGCTTCTCCCAGATTAGAATCCACACATTTAACCGCTATACCAAACTGGCATGGCTGCTTTTCCCCATAATTTCCCCTCTTTAACAGATGCAACCAGGCGGCGAGCATTCGGGCTGGTCTCTCAGGCGTACACTTCGATAAGCGCGGACGACTTTGCAGCCTTTGTTGGGCTTCCTGTGGAAGAAGCCGTGAAAGGTACCGGGGGGAAGGGTTGGTGGGGAGGCCTAGTGCTCCACTGTAGTCCCTGCTGCTAGGCCAGATCTTCCAGACATTTCATGAACTGCCCTTCCCAGCTCCACGGCCTTGGCTTGGCATATGTGGCTGGGAAAAATCCTGGCCTCGGAGTCGTACTGCAGCTGTCTTAATATTGCCGGGAACATTCAGTAGCCAGGTCGGTTTTGAGCGTATCTCATTCGAATGGTTGTTTCGGAGGTGCAGCGGAAGGAATATCCTCACCCGGTAGTAGAAGCATAAAGCAAAATATGATCCATTCCCCGTGCATGATTCTAATCGCGATGTGCTTCCCGGGTGTTTTATCCGGGTACGTGAGGACGCATGCTCGTGTGCCATTGCTGATGTTTTTGTTCTGTCACCTTCTTTGGAGGTGTTCTTGTCACCTCATAGGAACAGGAGTTATTTCACCGCAGAGGTTTAGAACCCAGTAGTCTTGTCTTTGGGCCTTTATGTGAAATATTAAAAGGGCACGGGGAAAAGAATATTCAGATCGAAATTTTGTTATCTTGTCTGATTAAAAACATTTAAATGAAAGCCCTAAAGAACTGAAATTGTCAAGCAGCACTTTCTGCGTATCTTTCTTATATAAGAGTACCAGACTACAGAATAGATTTTCCCTGGAGGTCTTCAACCTTTTCTGATGAGAGTCCACCTTTAGCTTCAACCTGCTACACCGAACTTGCTTCCCACCCCCCAGCTTCTCTCACTCTTCCTCACCCTCATGCGGCTCTGTCTTTTTTGCTTTTCTGTTTCTTCTCTTCTTTAAAAAAACAGAACAAACATAAGCACAGACAAAGACAGCAGCCGCATCCTTGGCACAACCAGCAGCACATTGGCCCGCAGCACGTCTTTGGATCCTGGCTTGCTAGTGGCTCATTTCATGGCAGCAGGAAGGACGGCCGTGATGCCGTAAAACAGGAGAATGGGGAATGTGCTAGAAGGAAGAAATGCCAGGCTTTCCTGTCGCTCACCTTTTGGCAGTAGACTGAGAGTAGGAATTTTTTACTTCTCTGAGGATCTGTGTGGCACCGACGGTCATAATCAACTCTATTCAATTCTTTTTTAGGCGTTCTCGAACAAGGGTGGCAAGCCGACTCCTCCACGCGCATGGTAATGCCGAAGAAGCCAGGTAGGTGGCGCTCTTGCTCTTCTTCTGGGGGCCTTTGTAGAGGTCTCGTCGTGCCCCCCCTCCCTCTCTGTGCCGTTTGCCAAGCCGTACTTCATTCCAGCTTTGGGGGAAAAACAACGGCAGGGGGAGCTCAGTACACAGGATGTCAGGACGGCGGGCCGCTGCTTCTCCCTCGTGGGCACAGGCAGCTTTAATTAAGCAGGCCGTTGAGAATGTCAACCTTTTAGGCAAAAGTAAACAGGATGTGCCTTAACCTCGCCCTCCTTGGCAGCGACGGCTCCTCCGAACATGTTTTTCAGTGACCTTAAACGACACGCCTGAATCGAATAAAGAGTACTCAGAACTTATTGTGGTTGCCGTTTTGGGATGCCCCCCCCCCCCGACTCGGTCTTGGCTCAGCAATGTTCTTGCATCAGTTGAAATGAACGTCCCATCCCCACCCCCCCGGCCGTGGCTTGGCTGGATGCCGCAGCCCACGTGCTGCTGGACCCACTCAAACGCCCTGGGAAAGGGGTGGGGGGTTGTGTGTCCTTCCAGCCCATTCTTCGCTTTGGCAACATTTCGGGGTGGCCGTTTGTTCTTTGGCATCGGGGGTGGTCCTAGGCAAGAGGCGGTTCTCATACACCGTGCTGCTCTTTCGGCACATTCCCGGCAGGATTTTCCTTTTGGCGAACCTGGTGCCGGAACAAAGGGACCTACAACCGTTCAGTGTGGTATAAAAGCGCGGCAGTTCTACCGCAGAAATTACAGTTTGGTGTCCTGAAAAGATTTCATTAAAGTAGGCAGAGGACGAAATGCTTTGGGTGTGTGCGAGTCTCTGCTCCTTAACGAATCTCTTGATCCAAAGGAGTGCCCGTGCCGGTGCTCATTTCTACGTATAAAATTATTATAAAAAGACGCGTGGCAAATGCCTGCTTTTGATATGCACTTTAAAAGAGGCCGAGGCGCACAGTGAATAAGCCCTAACAGCTGGGGACCAGCAGAACGAATGCCTTCCATGTCTTAGGCTCCCGCTCTGTATAGGGCTAAATCAATGCTTCAAACGCGTGGGTGAAACAGCACCTGAGATTCTCTCATCTTTACAGAATTTCCTCCCTTTGATTTGAATCTCCTGCCGTTAGGGCGGCTATGACGGATGCCATCCTCGAATTTGGGCACAAGGAACACTTTTGTGATGTTGGTGGCATTTGAAATCACCCACTGAACGTAGACTCAGCAAAATCTGGGGTGCCCGTAAGCACTCACAGGCAGTGAGGCTTGTTACTGGCATCTAGGAACTGTGCAGTGGGGCACTTGAATGGGTTACCGATGGCTTTTTCTTGTGTGTCTGGGTTTCAGGTCCGCAGGAGCCTTCATTTAACAGATTTCACCCATTATCAGGTATGTCTCTCCCCCCCCCCAGCTGTTTGTGTGTATTCTGGGTCCAAAACCAGATCAGTTTAAGAGAAAAGCTGAGGTGTAGAACACTGAGAAATTGATTCGTACACCAGAAAGCCCGGGAATTGCAAGCTGAGATGCCTGACTTTAAATGTCTTGGGCCGTATAAGAGAGCAATCAGCTTGCCTTGTTGGGTCCCAAATGTAGTGACCGGGCTGTCGACTGAGGCTTGTCAAAGTGATCGCAGCATTTCAGCCCTGACCTGGATGGCCCAGGCAAGCCCGATCTCGGAAGCTAAGCCGGGTCGACTCTGGCAAGGACTTGGATGAGAGACCTCCTCGGAATAGCAGAGGCTTTATTCAGCCACCTCTCTGAATATCCTCCAGGCCCCCAGTAGGGGTTAGTCACCAGAGGTCACCATGACTTCCAGGCCCACACACAGACACATATGGAAAAAAAATACAAAAAAAGTGATTACAGCATCCCAGTATTGGATTCCAATCTAGTTAAAGGGCCTGCTTCGTCCCACATGACCCTATCTGCGCATGTGGCTCTCCCAAGGCGAAGAAGAAGAAGAAGAAGAGGAAGAAGAAGAGGAAGAGGAGGAGGAGGAGGAGATTGGATTTATACCCCGCCCTTCACTACCCAAGGGAGTCTCAGAGCGGCTTACAAACTCCTTCCCCTCCCCACAACAGACACCCTGGGAGGTGGGTGGGGCTGAGAGAGCTCTGACACAAACTGCTCTTTTTCAAGGACAGCTGTGCCAGAGCTTGTGACTGACCCAAGGCCACATCAGCAGGTGCAAGTGGAGGAGTGGGGAATCAAACCCGGTTCTCCCGGATTAGAGTCCGCACACTTAACCACTACACCAAACTGGCTCTGCTCCCAGGGCACCTGGTTTTGGAGGCCCTATGAGTGGTTGCTAAAGGGAAGCTGGCTTCCCAGTTCTGGAGCGCCTGCCTCAGGGACATTCAGCCGGCATCATCATTGTGATTCTGCAGACGTCCGGCCCGGCCCATCCTTTTCACAAACGTTCTTCGTGTTAACTCCTGTCTTCTTACAGTATGTGGCTGCTTTTGAATGTGTGTTGATCTGTTAGCCCATATGTCTAAATGGAACCTCCATTAGTAGTAGTAGTGTATCTGAATGGCAAATGCTGCACTTTACTGAATTTTTGTGCAGCCATTTTCTGCCCAAAACTACTTTCCACAAAGCTGCTTTTCTGCAGAATCTCGGCGCAAGGGTGTCTGGCCTCAACAATGTTGGAAGCGGGGCGGGCCATTTCTTGCACCCTTCTGGTTTTTGTGCGGTTTTTTAGTAACGGTGCTTTAAAAAGCCAGCCATCTTAGGTGTGGAGCAGGTGTAGAAGACCTTGCTGAAGGTTGGTTGTGTTGGAAATCCACTTTAAGCACAGGCTTCCTTCAGGAAATCAGAAATTGCTCTGATGCAGACAAAGGTGTGTGTAAGAATTTGGGGGTGCCGTTCATTGCCTCTTTGTGTTTGTGTGTGTGTGTGTGTGCACCCCCCCCCCAGGCTCCGTGGAATCCTCTTCCAGCCCTTCCTTTCCCAACTCAGCCCTCGGCCCGGGTGCAGAGTAACACAACCAACCCTTGCCTTCAGTCGGAGACTCTGTTTCACATCTTCCCTGTGCCAATCCAACCACTCCCGTTCTCAGAACTCAACATTAAATGGGTGTACATCTCCCCTTGGAAATGTCCTGTACTCAAGGATTTGTAGAGCAGTTACAAAAAGAATAACACCAATACAGGTTCTGGGACACAGTACACATCCCTATACCTCAGCTAAACAGTCGTGAGATTTCAGGTAATGGGCAAGCACCGGTTCTTTTCTTTTTTTCCTGCCGCAAATTTAAAATCTCCCACTATTCTAGGTTTTGCAGAGCCGTCTGCTGCCGCAGATAGGCAGCTTGCATTAGCATGTGTTCTGCGAACATCCACCGATGGCATTTGATGACCTAATAAGTCACGGGTTAGAGAGCAGTGTCCAAGAATAGCATATGGATTGGACCACCCAAAAGGCAGCCTGCGTGTGTGTGTGTTTGTGTGTGTTTTGTGATGAGAGAGTAAGCGCTGCTCGGATTCTTCTTTTCCCCTCGTTTGGCGCTTGCCTGATTCTCCCCCCTGTTTTGTGCCGCCTTTTCAGAACCCGCTCCAGTGCCGCCCATTCCCAACGAACAGCAGTTGGCCCGATTAACTGACTACGTGGCTTTCCTCGAGAACTGATCGTCCCCGCCCGCCCTTCGTGTATTAAAGTTCGTTTACACTACCCCCAGGTGTCGTCTTTTCTTCAGAGAGTACAGCGTTCAAGGCCCGACGGCTTTGGGAAGACCTCCTGTTTGTGGAGCCGAACGTTCGTGTTCCGTAGCGACAGCATGGTGCTCGGCGCATGGTGCTCGGTGCAGATGAAGTGGCTCGGGCTTGGTGAGACTGTGGCCTGGCCGATTAGTCTGCTCTGGAGCCCTCCTTCCTGAGCGAAGGCAAAAATGTGTGAGCTGGAGGTTAAAAAACTGCGAGCTAGCTCACACTAACTCAGCTTATGGGGAACACTGGTGGTGACAGCATGGTGCTCAGCGCATGGTGTTCAGTGCAGATGAAGAGGCTCAGGCTTGGTGAGAGTGTAGCCTGGCCATGATCCTTGTCATGTTGACTGGGGCATCAGTCACATTGCTTCACCGAGAAGGTGTTTCCCAAGGAAAGTTTCACTGGTATTTCAGCTTCACGGGAAGCAGGGCAAGAGAGTTAGGAGGGGGGTACCTGGTAGGTTCCCTGACCTGGATGGCCCAGGCTAGCCCGATCTCGTCATATCTCAGAAGTTAAGCAGGCTTGCCCCTGTTTAGTACTTGGATAGGAGACCACCAAGGAAGTAGAGGGCTTGTTGTAGAATTCCTGGACCCCGGAGCAGTGTTCCCTCTAAGCTGAGTTAGTGTGAGCTAGCCCACAGATTCTTAGCCTCCGGCTCACACCTTTTCGTCTTAGCTCAGGAAGGGATGGCTCCAGAGCCAACTAATTTATGCAGCAGCCAAATCGCTCGCTCACAACTTTAATGCTGCTATGTGCTCACAAGACTCCACAGCTTAGAGGGCGCATGGCCCAGGAGTACCCTCTGGGCTCCAGAACCCCCCTCCCCCCCCCCTCGTTCAATTTGGGCTGGAAGGAAACTGGCTAGGGACCGTAGCCCTCTAGGGGAGAGAAGAGACAGGTGTGCCGCACTAAAGTATTTATTAAACTTCAGAAACGTGCAAAAAAAAAAACCAAACCATTGCAGGGCGTAACAGAGAGAGAAGAAGAAGAGAAGAGATTGGATTTGTACCCCCCCCCCGTCACTACCCAAAGGAGTCTCAGAGCAGCTTACGAGCTCCTTTCCCTTCCCATCCCCACAACAGACACCCTCTGAGGTAGGTGGGGCTGAGAGAGCTCTGACAGAAACTGCTCTTTTTCAAGAACAGCTCTTATCAGAATAAATCAACAAACAAACTACGGCTTGCCCAAGGTCATCCAGCCAGGTGCAAGTGGAGGAGTGGGGAATCGAACCCGGTTCTCCCAGATTACAGTCCGCGCGCTTAACCACTACACCAAACTGGCTCATGATGAAGGAAAACCCAGCACCTCAGACAGAGTGCACTGAATACAAGTCATAGGAATATATTCTGTCTGCACGCCAAGACCCTCACAGAGTCACCGGGGGTGGTTTCCCTGACCTGGATAGCCCAGGCAAGCGCACTTTCATCCGACCTCAGAAGCTAAGCAGGGCCGACCTCAGAAGCTAAGCAGGGCCAACCCTGACAAGTACTAGGAAGGGAGATCTCCAAAGAGTACCAGGGCCAGGATGCAGAGGCAGGTTATCAAACCACTTCTCTGAAACATCCTAGCCCCACTAGGGGTCACCAGAAGTCACCATGACTCCCAGGCTCGCAAGCACACACACAGAGAAAGAATACTCGTCACCGGGGGTAGTTGATGTTCAACCTTGAACAATGAAAACACCCACAATGTATACCCGTGGCAAGCTATACGATCAAATGGAGGCGTGAATTTGGAATGCGACGAGCTTGACAAAACCCAGCCTCTTCCTACCTTCGCCATTTGAACTTTTCCCAAAGTTAGCTTCTTATCTGCGAGGTAAAGAAGCTCCGGACAACCTCTCCATCAAGGGTAAAGGGCTAGAGAGCCCCACCATCTGATAAGCTATATGTTTAGACTTGGGCCCCGTACTTCTTGTCTCTTGGAATGTAAACAATCTCATGTGTAAAGGACAAAGAAGAAGAGTTGAATTTATACCCCACCCTTCACTCGGAGTCTCAGAGCGGCTTACAATCCCCTTCACTTCCTCTCCCCACAACAGACACCCTGTGAGGTAGGTGGGGCTGAGAGAGCTCTGAGAGAAACGGCTTATTACTCTTATTATTCTTCACTTAATCTTGTTTTCTCAATACTTGAGAACTCTTAAGTCATAAAATGCCCTCCAGGGTCCCATAAACCCTTCTTCCATTTTTCCTTTTAATACATTTGTCAACTTGTCCATTTCAGCACATTCCATAATCTTCAATATCAACTCATGCCTTCCATGCCATTGCAAATAAAATTCCGGCAGCTGCTGTAACATGGAAAATAAAATATCTGTGATTCTTATCTAACTCACCTGGGAAACAGCTGAACAAAAATATCTCTGGCTTAAAAGGTATTGTGATATTCAAGACTGACTGTAAGAAAGTATGCACTTCAATCCAGACTTTATTAACCTTTTTACATGTCTACCACTTCGAGGTATAAGCTTCCGTGTGTTATGTACTGTCTGGATATCATGAATCAGCTAATCCACCTCCTATGTCAAGCTTCAAGCCAGCCAAGGCTCCATCTAGCCCAAAAGCTATTGGTCGCTTCGAAACAGCGACCAATCACAAAGGAACTGTTCCCTGAGCGGGAAGAACTCTGATTCGCCTTTATCCCTGAAATCTAATTGGTTGTTATTGTACATAGTGGGAGTGGCTATATTAGCCCGGTATGTTTAAAAGGAGCCCAGCTCCGGTGGTGTGTTCTGTTCTGGTTTCTCATGCGTTTGAGTGCTTGTTCGTTACTTCTGATTAAAGCTGAATCACTGCTGAAATCACTCCACGAGTCCTTTGTTAGCGCGATCTAACACGGTGTTAACACTTCAGAAGCGTGCCTGCACACAAAAGCCAGAATTAAAGTTTTGTTGGTCTTCAAAGGTGCCGCTGGACTCAAACTTTGTTCAAGAGGTACAATAAGGTAGATTTCGGCTCCAACTTTGACAAACAATTCCTTGTAATGAGGAAGCCTAAACAGCCATCCGAGGAACCAACTGTTCCTCTCAGCACAGCCAAGTCATCAAACACAAAGGGAGCAGGGTTGCAGACCAAAGTTGGAATGACAGGAAAAAATGCAAGGTGACAGACTTACAGTGCCATCCCAAGCAGAGCTATGCCCTTATAAGTCCATTGCCTTCAGCGGACTTGGAAGGGTGTAACTCCATTTAAAGGTAAAGGTTCCCTTGCTTGAAAGCCAGTCGAGTCCGACTCTAGGGTTGCGGTGCTCATCTCCATTTAAACTCCATTTAGGGTTGCACTATTAGTCTCCCCAAGCATTGCAGAACAGAATGCCGCATACAGCAGAAGCTGGATTCCCCAGGTCTCTTGAATCACGGGAGAAGTCGTACAACTCATGTCAAGGGTGTGCCAAAGGATTCCAATCTCAATTTGTAAGAGAGGGACAATTATTCTAAGACTTGGCCAAGAAGCAGTGTATTAATGACAAAAGGGGGCTGGCGGTGAAAGAACAGTCAAACATTTGGGACTACTGCAAGCCGCACAGCTCCCCACCCCACCCCCCCGTTCAGCTGTATGACTGACCCATAACCATAAACAGCTATAACTTGCCTCCAGACGTGTTCACACCTTTTATGGACAATCTCTTTAGAACACATCATAACCTGCAAAGCGAGCAGGGCACCCTGCGATATAACGCAACAACTCGTAAGATGAATCATAAAGATTAGCCAGGGCTTAGGAAGCGTCCTCTCTCCCTTCATGTCTCCTTGGCGTACTCAACTGTATTTTTCTTTCGGTTGCCTCCGTGCCCTTGGGGACACAATTCTGTGCTACGGTGAGCACAGGTGTCTCTTCCTTGTGAAACCCAATCCCCTCTGCAGTTTAAAAATCCCTCAAGGAGCTGACACCTCCTGTACTCTACCAGCTGGTGATGGAAAGGGCCATCGTCAAGTTGCAGCCAAATTCCAGCAACCTTGTCGTGTTTTCAAGGCAAGAGACCTTCAGAGGCGGAGTGCCACTGCCTGCCTCCACATAGCAACCCTGTGGCAGAATTTATTCCAAAATGAGACCAGGCCTTTTGGAGCAGCACTCTGAATTGGCTTTAGCATCTGTTCTTTGGCTCAATATATCCCACAAGGCTTTGGCACCTGGCTAATGCTATATTCTTGAAAATAAGCATTGCCTTGACTTTGGTGTCGTGGTTCAAGTGCGTCAAGCTGCGGTGGCTCAAGTGGTTAAGACGCTGAACTGCAGGCTGTGGAAGGTCAGTAGTTCAGCAGTTCAAGACCCGGGTGCCGCACGATGGAGTGAGCTCCCATCTCTAGTTCCAGCTCCTGCCAACCTAGCAGTTCAAAAACAAGAAATTGCAAGTAGATAAATAGGTACCACTTCGGTGGGAAGGTAACAGCGTTCCGTGCGCCTTGGTGTTTAGTCATGCCGGCCACATGACCACGGAAATGTCTTCGGACAGCGCTGGCTCTTTGGCTTTGAAACGGAGATGAGCAGCGCAACCCTAGTCGGACTCGACTGGCTTTCAAGCAAGGGAACCTTTACCTGACTTTGGTGTCGTGGTTAGGAGTGTGGACCTCTAATCTGGAGAACCGGGTTTGATTCCCCATTCCTCCACATGCAGCCAGCTGGGTGACCTTGGGTCAGTCACGAGTTCTCTCAGAGCTGTTCTCTCACGAGCAGTTCTCTCAGAGCTCTCTCAGCCCCACCTACCACACAGGGTGTCTGTTGTGGGGAGAGGAAGGGAAGGGGATTGTAAGCCGCTCTGAGACTCTGAGTGAAGGGTGGGGTATAAATTCAACGCTTCTTTGTCCTTTACACGTGAGATTGTTTACATTCCAAGAGACAAGAAGTACGGGGCCCAAGTCGAGTATTCTCTCTCTCTGTGTGTGCTTGCGAGCCTGGTGACTTCTGGCGACCCCTAGTGGGGCCAGGACATTCCAGAGGTGGCTTCGATATAACCTG